AATGATTAGGGTTGTCAGGAAAACGAGTCACAAAGTTAACTATGTGAGTAAGAGATTGAGAAACGCAGAAGTTAAAGGCTTTAGTGCCAGCAGGATCAGTGGTGTTAGAACCAAGCCATTCAGTGTGATAGGCATTAAAATCACCAACAACAACAATATTGGCAGAGGGGTAAAGAGAGAGGGCATGGTCAATTTGATCAGAGATAACATCTAAGAGAGTGCAATCATGGTAAGAAGGAGAACGATAAAAAACAAAGAGAAAGGAGAGGAGTGAGGAGGGGCTAGGCGAAAGCACATAAAAGAATGGTCAAAGGATTCGAACCTGATTTCACGACAAATAGGGGAATTAATGCGTATGTATACCCCTAAACCTAGCATGTAATATTTGAGTCTTTACGAATCAAAGGATAGTACCCATCAACACTGACATCTGAAGAAGGAATTGCAGAATTTAAATTTGTTTCACTGAGTGCAAGCAAGTCTGGTGAGTTTTGCAGGAGGTAAGACTCAACTGATGGAAAGTTGCTTCGTAGACCGCGAATATTTGTAAAAGATATATTAAAATATTTAGGTGGTGGGGATGGTTTTTTAGATTTTAAATTTTTGGTTACTTTGGTCATGATTTGGGTTTAATGAGAACTTGACTCATTCATAGATAGAGCACAGCCTTCTAATCAATGAGCTATGCAGTTGTCTCAGTCCTGTTAATTAACCCTAAGCCGTGACATAGGGCTCCTTATGTGGCCTTGACAATGCACACCAAAAGCATTAACAGGGACACCATCCATGCGCAACATGGCACTGTTAATACTCTGATATTTTGCAGCAGTTGATGGAATCAGCCTCTCTGAGAGCTACCACAGAGTTCGAGAAACCTTACTACCAGCCGGCCTCAGAACCATTAAACTGAGTTTTAGAACTGTACCCTCATATGGAGATAACAGGAAGAGTTGCATAGCCATTATCAAGGAGGATTCATTTAATTTGCAATCTTTTAAGTCATCTGTCAATCATTATCTTGCTCTACGAATTCTATCTTTTCTCTTCCAGTAACTTCAAAACTCTTATAGTGGTTGCTATAGTCTTGTTGGAAGCGAAGATGTAATATATATATATATATAAATATATATATATATATATATATATATATATATATATATATATATATATATATATATATATATATATATAAATATATATATATATATATATATATATATATATATATATATATATATATATATATATATATATATATATATATATATATATATATATATATATATATATATATATATATATATATATATATATATATATATATATATATATATAAGTTATAATAGCATATTGTTTTTTTAACTAATATATAGTCTTTCATTCATTTACTTTCTTATCTTAAGAATAATGAAATATAAAAAACGTTTAATGTTGACAATAGTTTTGATCTTTTCTAGTGTGATTCTATTGCCAAGTTTCTTGAAGGCGATCAATCATTTCTCGATACAAATGTTGCAAAAAGTAGTATATTTTTTATTATGGTTGAATGTTTTCTTTTTAAGGATAAATTACTATTATAAATTACATAAAAAAATTTTGATCTGTAATTATATTCATAATGCTCACTTTACAAATAAACATAATTTACACAAAATTTTTGAATTGATTAAAACACTAATGTATTGCTTCTATGCCCAATATAACTTACACTAAATTGTCCCATATCAATTACACTAGTGTTATCTTTTAAATTTAGAAATAGAAGTTATTAAATGTTAGTGGCTCAGTGCATTTGAGAAGGGCATGCTTTCAAAGTAAGTATAATTTTACTATAAAAAGAGCATTTTTAATACCGCAATTATATTTCATACTTGATATACATAAATATATAAGCTGGTCACAACAATCCAGCAAAAATTTCTTTAAAAAAATCAGTTTAGTGTTAAGAAATTAGTATTTTTTGATGTTTGATGTTTATGATGTTTTTGATGTTTATAAAATGATAATTATATGTATGTGTGTGTGTGTGTTATTTATTTCTTTCCTCTTTTTTTTTACATACTTATCCTAACAATATTTTTTTAAGGTTAAGACTGCTTTCCTGATTCCTACAGCAAAAAAAAAAACTTTAAAATGCTGGTGGCAATATTTTAAAGAGTGCATCTGGATCGAAAAGAAGGTGAATGACGTCAACTGTTCAAAAATTTGATTCTTGGAAATTAACAAGTCGAAGAAGAAGTTTACAAAGTTGTAATTTATAAAACTCAGCACAATTATATTATTAAAAAATTTAAATGATTTATTATTTTTTTCTTATTCACAAGAAGTTCTATAAAAACATAAATTTGAACCTTACGTTTAAGTAAAGCCATGTTAGAACACGTCGAAATAAGAACGTCTAAATTAGGTTATTTAAAGACGTCATTCGGCGTTTCCATTTGCACTAGTTCTGAACGTCCTAAATTCACGTCTTTTAGACGTCTCAAAATACGTCTTTATTCCGTCCTAAAAAGATGTCCTGATTACGTTTTAAAAAGACGTCATCTGGCGTTGCTAGTTCTGGACGTCCTAAAAGTTCTGGACGTCCTTTCGACGTCATATAGACGTTTCCGTGCCTGCTGGGAATTAACGCAATTTTAGAAATTTTATTAGTTAGATTGGCATAGAACAAGCTATGTTATTAGGTTTATTGTGCATTGCTGACCGAAACATAATTATTATGAAGTAGCGAAAGACTTCAACCAAATTCAAACACTGAAAATAATGATATCGTGCAGTTTACCTCCAAGGTCCATAATTACTTTCAATTTACAAAAACCTGGCAGCGTAACTAAGAAGAGAAATTTTTTACGGTTTTAAAAAAAGATGGCAAATATAAAAGTTTTCATTATATTATTTTGACACTTCAACATCAAATAAATGAACTTTCTTTTGGTTTTTAAGTCTATGTTTTATATGAACTTTGATCAGCATAAAATTTTATTTAAAAAGTACAAACATACTTTTGAAATAAAGGGGTTAACCCAAAGATGTACAAAAAGTTACAAGGAGTGGGTAGGGAGTTTTTACTTGTTTTTTTTTATTTTTATACCATTTTTGTAAAAGATTTTGAAAAAACTCATTTTTAACAGTATTTGTAAATTCAGTGTGCCTGAATCTAATCTGCTGAGCTTATTTTACAGATCTGAAATGTCATTTTGTATAACAGTTGTGAGAACTATTTTTTAAATTTAGTGATACATACAAAACTGTCAGAGATTTATTTAGTTAAGTTTTTGAAATATAGTAAGAAAACAAGTCACTTTTGAATTTTACTTTTGTTTCCAATCATGTTTTTTTTCATAACACTTGATACCATCATAAAAGTATGTATCTTTAAACATGTAAATAAATAGCATAACTTCATGTATCAATTGTAGCTATGGATATTTTTCTAAGGCTCTCAGTTTTGATTGATGCAGTACTGATGCTCCGTAAACTTAAACGTCTGTTTCTGAGAAAAACAAGAGACTCAGGAGAAACAACAACATATATTAGTGCATCAATCCACATAGCAATAATATAGCATATGTTTAAATATGAAAACTTAGCATCGCTCCAGTTGTCTATGCTGTTAAAAGTAGTAATAATTATAATATCAGGAATAACAGATAGTTATAAGAAAGAAAGTAAAATCAAAGACGCGACTAACATTCCTTTAAAAACATTTCTTTGAGGTTTTTTGAAAACATTTTTTTGATTTGCTTTGATTAGTTTACTTTTTTGATATATTTTCAAAGCTGCAGCGTAAACAAATATTGAAAACACAACTATGATGACGTCAAAAATTACCATTAAAATATATATAACTCTCTGACAGTGTTCCTGAAAGATAGCTCCGGCTAGTATGCAAAAAGTCCACAGCGCTAAAGTAAATAATAATGTTTTCTTTTTGGACCAATAGACCACGTACATTATATTTAGTTTGATGTGCAAGTATCGATCAAATACCAACCATAGAGTTGCTCCATAGTAACCAAGCATAAATATGTTTGCAAATGATTGTGAAATGGTTGTAAATGATTTTAAATTATTTTCAGAGCATACCATTAAATCATATAAAGATGAATTAATTGTGAGAACGAAGCACGAGCAAACGTCAAAAATACAAAGGTTAGTAATAATATATCGTTGAGTTTTATCAAATTTTGTATTTTTCATTTTAAGTAAAATATATAATCCAATTGCACATACCAAAACTCCAATAGCTGCAAATGCTATATCGACTTTTTGTGTTTTCCAAACGCTGTCATTTGCACAATAACTGTAATTCGTCGTACTGTTACACATTATTTCTACTCCTTGTGTATTCCATCTACTGTCATTTGAACACTGTCATTTATTTAAATTGTTCTGCATTATTTTCTTATGCAAATAAAGATATATATATATATATCTATATATATATATATATATATATATATATATATATATATATATATATATATATATATATATATATATATATATATATATATATATATATATATATATATATATATATATATATATATATATATATATATATATATATATATATATATATATATGTATATAATATTTTTGGTGTGTTGCCTCTTCAAGAGAACAGTTAAACATCTGTCAGATTTTACCTTACCTTACCTTATGTGATTTAATTGATTCTGAAAAAGTACATTTAAATAATAAGTTTTACAATAAATTAAATCAAACAAGTAAATATATTTTTTTTAACTCAATTTAATTTTTTTAATTATTAGTGTTCCGCATTTTGAGTAAGTACGATTTAAATAAGTACGTTCAATAAATTACTCAGCATTTAATTATTCATAAATAATATATTAATATATCAATAACAGAATGACACGCTTGAATGTTTCTATTAATTGTTTTTTGTTTTTGTAATTGTTTTTTTTATAAAGATTATACTTTTAATTGGGATAAAACATTTTTTTGAATTAATTTTACTTCACCAACGGCCTCAAAGTGTGCTGTCGTCTTAACTATACTACAGTTGTAAAAGTTAATCAAGTTTTTAGTTGTTTATTTTTCATTTTGTTTGCAACTTTTTCCCTACCTTACATATCAAAACATAAACTGGGCTTCAGCTGAGGAACATGGTGAACGTAGTATTTCCAACGAATCCGACTGGATTTAAACCTCGAACCTTTGGTTCCTGAGACAAGTATCTTATTCCTTAACAAATATTTTTTTATTCTCAATAAGAACATTTTAAATTTTCTTTAGAAGGTTTCTATAGAAGATGACGGTTTTTTATAAATGTTGATTTATAAAAAACTTTATAAAAAAAAGATTAGGATTGTTTATAAATAATCTTTGGTGCCTTTACATTTAAAAGGAAAAAATGGTTAAAAGCAATTATAAAGTAGTATTCTTGATAAAACATTAAAAGTTTAATTGAAGTTTAATGTTCTATTTGATTCTTGAATATTCAAATAGAAAACGCCGTTCAGTTTATATTAAAAAACACAATAATCAGTTATTTTGAATGATCAGGAAGTTTATAAACTTAAGAAGCTTATTAACAAAATGTCCGCTTTTATCAAATTAAAGTATACTTTATTTTCATAAAGGCCTTCATCCCAGTGGGCACAAGAACGCTTGGCAAACGTTTTTTAATGGTTTTTTAAACGTTTATATGAAACGGTGAATGCACGTTTTTTTAAAAACGTTTTGTGAACGTTTTTATATGGACTTACAAAAACGTTTTTTATTTGGTTTTTTGAACGTCTATATGAACGGACTTTTTTCTAAATACGTTATTTATTGGTTTTTATTATGTCTAAATGAAACATTTTGTCGTTTTTAAATGAAACATTTGGTCGTTTTTAACATTTTTTTAACAACCTTTTTTTAAGTATTACTTATTTAAGTAGATATCTTATGTTGTACAGAAAAAAAAAACTTTTTATAAATGAAAACTTTGGCCTAATAGTCTAGATCAAGATAAAGTTAAAGTTTAACATTTTGTGTTTATTTATAATTTAAGCATACAAAAATATAATGAAGTAGTTTTTTTGCTATTCTATTAAGCTATTTATTCTATTATTCTCTTTAAACAATCGCCTTTCAACTTTTCAACCAAATCGATATTTGCTGTATGTGACACTAATGTTCATAAAAAAGAAAAGCACAATAGAAATCCTTCATGCATTTCGCTAGCATGTAAAAAAAATGTATAAAAATGTAAATTATAATAATAAGATATAAGTAATGGAAAATATCAAACAGTATGTTAAAGGACCAATATAAAAATTTAAAAAATACCTATTATTACTATACTCATAATGTTTTTTTTAAATTATCTATCTCCATAAGTTCCAGCTTTCTTCAACAGATGAACACATTTTGAAATTATTTCATCCAAAACATTATTACAAGAGCTGAAAAAGACCTTAAAAAATCATTAAATATATTTAGTTTGATCACATTTTACTTTATTTAGAAAAACTTTATAAATAAATGTAAGCAAGAATATAACAACAAATAAAACTTTGCTTTATCATTTAAAATTATTTCATTTTCATCAAACCTTGTTATATCATTTATTTTATCATAAATAAATTATAAACCTTCAAACTCTTTTCTTCAAAGTCTTTTCCCACAGGATATCCACTGCAGATAAAGATTTTTAAGATTTTAGGCATTGTAGTTCTATATATATTGCAGATTAAAAACCTATATAAAAAAAAAAAGTTATAACTAAGTAAAACATTAATAAAAAACTGTTGTGGAAAACTGAAAATTAAATTAAATACAAAAAACAACTTTTAACAAAGGAAAAGACAACATTTAACAACATACTTGTTTAACTAATAGACTTAAAACTTGATGGCAGTCAATCATAACAATAAAGTGCAGCAATGTATCGCTGAAATTCTTTTTTAACTTGTTGAAGAAATGTTTTGTGTATTATATATAATGTATTATTATGTATAACGTATTACTTTGCTTGTTAAAAATACTTACACATTTTTAAATATTTCAAAAAACATTTTTCTGGTTTTATTTCGCATAAAATGTTGAATAAAAACAGATGAACTTACATTTGGCAAATTTTTGCACTTTAATAGCAGTCCATGCTTCTCTAATGTGCAAACAATTATGATATGTTTTACATATCATTCTAAAATTGATATTAAAAAAAAATACAAAAATTGCACACTTTAATCTTATATATAAGCTTATATTGAAGTATTTAGTTAAGAATATTATATATAACACTAATTTTGAGAAAATTAAAAAAAAAACTTGCATTTTATGAGCTAAACTTAAAAAACAACCTGACTCTAGAAGTTTAGAACTTGAAGAATCTGAGTCACTTTACGCATGCATCTTCCCAACGGGCATTCGAACATTTAATCAACGTTTAGTTAATGTTCGTTCTAAATGTTTAGATTTAATTTAGTTTCGATTTAGAACGTAAGTCAATCGAATGTTCCATTTAAACCGTATCTAAATGGTTCGCTTTAAACGCTATTTAAACTCCATCTAAATCTTTCGTTTTAAACTTCGCCACGTTTAACTTTATTTTACGACGCTTATTTAAAGTAGCATAAATAAATAAAAAATACTAATAAACGAATCAAACTTATCTTTTATTTAAGCTTCTATAAATAAGTACCGTAAAGAAAAGTTAAACGCTGAACGCATTATCTAAATACTCAAAAACAAATCAAACATTAAACAGATAATTTTTTATTTATATAAGTCAAAAATACAAGTAAAATCATTTTATTTATTATTAAATGCATTATTGTATTCGTCATCATGATCGGCTCCTTGATGATCATTGTCATCTTTGCTTGAACTGAATAAGCCTCTTTGTCTTAAGAATTAGAAAAAAAGACATAACCTTTCCTATTTCCACCTATACGGAAGGGAGCCATTCTAAGAAAGATAAGAACCAATGCACGATACCATATTGCGGATGCCGAAGTCATACAATCCTTTTTCTAAAAATAATAAAAATAACTCAATAAACATCTTCATTCTATTCATATAAATATTCATTTAACATTTATAAATCATAGTTTTATAGATTATATAAGATTGTACATTAGCACAGTGTACATTGAGTAACTATAGTAACAATTGATAAAGAATATTTCTTTAAAACTCTGTATAATATATAACATTTATAAAACTTTATAATATATAACATTTATAAAACTTTATAAAAAATACTTGTAGTTATCGCAGTTATGGGTTGATAAGTTGCATAACTGCAGGACAACTGCAGTGCCCTTCCTAAACATAGTAATACAATATTATAAAGTATTCTATTACTTTATAACAATATCTGTACAGCATACATATATGTATACATATATATATATATATATATATATATATATATATATATATATATATATATATATATATATATATATATATATATATATATATATATATATATATATATATATATATATATATATATATATATATATATATATATACATATACACATATATATATACATATATATATATATATATATATATATATATATATATATATATATATATATATATATATATATATATATATATATATATATATATATATATATATATATATATATATATAAGTTTGATAACTCCCATTATCCATTGTCTTGAGGAGCAGTAAGCACACTCAGTATCCTGTTTTATTGAAACTTTCTATTTAATTGAAAAGTGTGGAGATACCGACAGTTTCACTACAACATAAATAAACATGTAAAAATAAAATAGTGATTCCTAAAATTCTTAAAGTTAAAAAACTAATCAATAAACATTATAATTAAAATTTATATATCAAAATCATCTATGTACTGTAAAATGGACCAATCAAGTAAGATGTCTAAATCATCTATGTATATAACACGCAACTCAAGCTAAAAATTAAGTATTACTTGATCAATCCATTAGTTTGTGCTTTGATATAGTAGTTATGTGAATAATGGTATTTTAGAACTCAATTTTCAAGCTAACAAAAAAGGAGACTTTGCAAGTACTGATGGGTTAGCTAAATGTTTATAACTTAACATTTAACAATTGACAGGTTTATCTAAAAGTAAAGGAGTTTTATATAAAAGATATAAATTTAGACATCTTACTTGATTGGTCCATTTTACAGTCTTTTGGTATAGTAGTCACACTTGATTTGAATAAAGATATCTTAGAATGCAATTGAATGCTTGAGACAAGGTGGCTGTGGAAGTAGGGATCGTTTAACTAAAATGTAAATCCAAGTAATATTAACTCCAAAGAAATTGAAATAAAAACTAATTTAGATTAGAGTAACGAGCAATCATGGATTAATTATATGTTATTATTTTTAGTTTATATATTAATAGTTTCTATATAAACATTAATAAATTAAAATGAAACCTTTAAGAGATTTGTATAATCAGTACTTTTGCTTTTTTTATTATCTGCTGATTATCAATGCCTCCTTCAGTTTCTGATATTTAAAACTTTTGCAATCCTCATAACAATCTGTAAAAGGAATAACAAAACATCTTATCCAAAGCAATGACAAATAAATTTAAAAAGTAAATTATTTAACATTTTTTGAATAAAAATTATTATATCACAAACAAAAATAATAATTCAATATAATATCAACCTTTGGTTCTTCCAATCAAACAGCCTGACAATATGACATTTTGCTAAAATGTTAACACTGATTTGGTTGAAGGTACATCCACACATAACATTAACTTGAAATTAAACTTGTTAAAAGTGTTTTAAATAAGTTTAGTCGTCTAGTTTTTTAGCTCTTTTTGCTGACTTTAGTTTTCCTTATTCCGAGGGATGATATACGTATACATACTATATATTTCGACCTGTAAAATTTCAAGCTTGGTTGGTCTTTCATAACATAATAAAATAAATGAAAAATAATGCAATAAATATTTCAATAGTTTTTAGATAAAGAGCATAAGATAAAAACAGAACAATTTCAACTCTCTTTTAACTAATTTAAACTTTAAAGACTCAAACCAATCATCAATGTATTTTTTATATATAACAGGAATTACCTTTAATCTTACATTATTTTTTAAGCGTTGCATTTTTATAAATAGCTTTTCATAAGCCTGAGCAATTAGATTATGATTTAATAGGTAAATATCTGACAGATGTTGAGATTTTAGAATCATATTTAAAAGTACAGAGTTTGCAGTTTATCTTGTGATTACTAAAAAATAACTATAAGTTTTAAAAACAGTTTTTATTTGCAGAATGATCTTTACAGAAATAGCCATTAACTTAATTATAATTTTAGGAAAATCTAAATTTTAAAGGAGTTGCATGTGTACTTGGCTGTTTCCTGCTGCTTCAATTGTTGTTGCAACTGACTGAACTGTTTATAAAATATTAAATAAAATTAAACACGCAAAACTTAATAAACAATAAAAAAAAATACTTGCACAGATTTTAGAAATATAATATAACTATGTAATATAACTATATTATTGTTCGAACCATGTAAACTTTTCTACTAAAGAGAAAATAAATGATACAATATAATAATCTATCATATCAGAGGTAAGTAAATTTATTTTCTCTTTAGTGGTTATCATATAAGAGTATGAATAATACTTAAACTTTTGAAAATATTTTTTAGTTTACACTAAAAAAAAACTGAAGATCCATTATATAAATATTTGAACCTCATAATTTTTGATTGGCACTGACTGCACTAAAAGTATAAATATTATAACATTGCTATTCGATCAATATAACATCTATCATAAACAAGTAGATGTTAGGTCTTAATATAAACAAACAATAATAGTTTTATTTAGTTATTTAAAAAGTAGTTACCACTTAAAATGCATAATTTTTCTCTAAAACTTTTAGAGAAAATTTATGCATTTTAAGAGGTAACTATTTTTCATAATTTTTCTACTTTTAGATAAAGTAGAAAGTTAACGCCTATAGTTAACTCTTAGGAAGCTAAGAGTTAACTATAGACGTTTTATAGCGCTGTTACAAACCAAACAGAAAAAACAATTTAAGAAATATTAAAAAAAAAGCTGAAACTGATACTTTTTTGAAATTACTGCTAATTTTTTGAAACTGCTATTTTAGTAGCAAATAACTAAAATTTAGTTATTGCAACTAACTAAATTAACTGAACTTATTGCAACTAACTAAAATAACTGAAACAATACTAAGATATATTTGATGTAAAAAGTAATAAAATAATGTAAAATAGTTTTTCAGTTTATATTTTGAAAAGACAAAAAAAGTCTTAAAAAGGGAAAAATTAAACCTTTAGTTATGTAATCAAGGGAAACTCGCAGAAAACTGTGTAAAGTCATGTCATCGAGAACCCTTTTTTTAAACAATTTCATTAGATACTCATAAATATTTTATTCATTACTCATTACATTTTTCAATATAATTAGTCTTGTTTTTAGGAAGGAGCATAACATAAACATAACATATATATATATATATATATATATATATATATATATATATATATATATATATATATATATATACACACACATACGCACACACACACACATAAACACATATATATACATATATACATATATACATATACATATAGATATATACACTGTGTCAAAAAAGTTTTTCACTGAAGCACTCATACACCCCCACACTAAAACACTTCCTCCGCCATGCTTCACCGTTGGACACAAGTTTTGTTTTTTAAATGCTTCATTTGGTTTTCTCCAAACTTTAACTCTTCCATCTGATGAAAACACATTAAATTTTGATTCATCGCTGAAAAGGACCGATTCCCAGAATGTTTGTGGTTAATTGATATAAAGTTTTGCAAAGTGTAGTCGTTTGGCTTTGTTGACTTTGCTGATATAGGGCTTTTTCAATGGTACTCTACCATTGTATCCAGCTCTTCTTAAGGTTATTCTAACAGTTTCAGGGTCCACTTTTAAATTGTAATCATTTTGCAGCATTCCAGCGAGTTTTGGAGCACTTATTTTAGGATTCTGGATGACTGTTCTTAATATAGCTCGTCGATGCAATACTTGAATTTTATTTGGACGCCCTGTACGTGGCTTATCAGCAATTTTTTTGGTGGTTTGGTATTTCTTAATAATAGACTGCACAGTTGCATGTGATTTCTTTACTATTTTTCCTATATTTCGCTGTGATTTTCTCTCTTTCCATAGTCTAACAATAAGCAATCTAATTTCCTCTGCAACTCTCATTTTTATTAATAATCTAACAAAAATAAAAAATATAAAAAACTCATATAAAAAAAAAAAAAAATACAAAAATCTTACTAAATCTAATTTATATTTTAAAAATAATACTTTAATACTGATTTAATAACAAATTGAGGTTGGAGTGCAGGGTGGATGAAAACTTTTTTGGCGCAAAAACAGGCATTGTTTATGTTTAAATGTTGTATTTTAATTTCTATTCATTATTTTGTAAAATCTTTTTATACAATACTTCTTGAATGGTTAACTGATATAATTAAGTTGAAATTATGCTTATATCTTTGCTGAATGTAAAGTTATCACGTCTGAAAGATGTACAGGATAGGTGGATGAAAACTTTTTTGACACAGTGTATATACATAGTATAGCATATATTCAGTTTTAAACCGTTTCTTTCATTATCTGTAAAAATTTCATTACCTGTATCAATATTACCACAATTTTCAAGTAATTGATAACAAAAACAAAAATTAGATGGAACGTGTCTATTAGTCGTTGTAAAGAGACTTCTTTTGTAATTGAAAAAAAACTTTATTAAAAATGCGTTACTTGAAAATTTTAAGAAGTTTTAGCGCATGCGTGATTTAACTGATTTTTTTTTTATTTAATAAAGCATTCTGATTATTTTTTGGACGAAAAAATTATTGGACGCGAAAAAGACGTTCAAAAGACGTTTATAATTTTAATGGGACAGGCGGATGCGATTTGAACGTCCAAAGGACGTCTTTTTTACGTCCTGTGCCCACTGGGGTAGAACTGTTTCTCTGAAAACCAAATTGATTTTTATAAAGGAGTTTATTATCAATAAGATAAGTGTAAATTCTATTATACATTATTCTTTCTAATATTTTTGAAAAGACCGGTAGATCTGAGATAGGACGATAGTTTGTTATGTTGGTATGGTCACCTGTTTTAAAGATTGGAGTTACTTTGGCTATTTTCAAACTATTTGGAAACGATCCTTGAGTAATAGATGCTTTGAAGACTTTGAAGAGGATATCTTTAATCTCATTAAAAAAAGTCGATTACAATATTTCCATTTATATCATCAAGCCCTATTGCTTTATTCCTTTTTAATGATTTAAATGCAATTTCGAATTCATTATAAGTTAGATTTGAAAAATTTATAGTTGAATTTGGTGATGATATAAATTCATCAACAGAGTTGTTGTCTACATAAGGAATCTTGTTTGATAGATTATGTCCTATTGACGAAAAAAAATTATTGAATTCGGCTGCGATTTCATTTGAATCGGTAATTAACTTATTTTCAAATTTTATAGCATTCGGCATCGTATTTGTGTTTGTCTTATGTTTGCTAGTAATTTCTTTCATTATTTGCCACACCCGCCTTGAATTATGCTTGTGTTTTATAAGCAAGTCAGAGTAGTATATTTGTTTGGCTTTTTTTTGGAGTTTTTCAAATAAATTTTTGTAAACTGTGTAGTTATTTTTATGTTTGTCGGATTTATTTTTAAGATATTTAATATAGAGTTTTTGTTTTATTTTTGATGATTTTTTTATTCCTTTAGTTATCCAATGACAAGATATGTTTTTGGCATCAAGAACTATTTCTCGAATAGGAAAATTTGCTTCATATATATTTTGTAAAATATATTAAAAAAAGATTTTTAGATGATATTTATATCCTCATTAAAGTTTATATAGCTCCCGTCTTGGTCTAAAAGTTGCTCTTTAAATAAATTTAAGTTATTGTTGCTATAAATCCGTTTTTTTAATGTTATTTTACCATTCGTATTTGTTTTGTGGTCAGCGCCTCAGCAGAAAAAAATTGGAAAGTGATCCGAAACATCAGTTTTTATAATACCTTTTTTGAGTGTAATATTAAAATAGTCATTGGTAAGAACGTTGTCAATTAAGGAGGATGAAGACTTTGTAATTCTAGTAGGTTTATTTATAATGAGTATTGTTCCCGTTTCAAATAAATGATTATAAAACTTTGTTATATATTTTTTTCATTATACTGGAAGCAGTCAAGGTTGAAATCCCCCAGTATATAATTTTTTTCTTTTCTTGGCTAGTTTTTAGGTACTCAGTTCTTCCGGTTGGTGGCCGATAACAGCAGCTTAGTAAAACATTTTTAGATTTTTTATTTATTATTTCAACCGTTAAAATCTCAATATTATCATCAGAAACACTCATATCGCTTCGAATATTATACGCAAAGTTTTCTTTTATGTAAAAAAGAACTCCTCCTCCACGCTTATTAACATTACGCTATAAGAAGACTGTATTAAAACCTGTAAGATGGAGATTAGAGTTTGATTTAAAATCTTCAAGTTTCAGTAAAGCAAATAACGTTAAAAAAATTTTCCGTTTGACAAATCATATTTAAAAAGTTATCAACATTTTTTTTTAAACTTCTGATATTAATGTGGATTATATTAAAATAATCACAATTATCATTATTTTTAAATATGCTTTTAATTTCATCTGGATAAAAGTAAGAGCATTTGAATTTTGATCCATTAATCTCATTAAAATAATTAATTAGATTCATTGTCTAAATTAAAAGTATTTGTTTGAAATAAATTTGATATTTTTTCAAAATCATTCCGATAAGTTGAATCCATTTTGTATGTTTTTGTTATTTTGAAAATATTTGAAGGTTTTTATATACACTGGTATATATGTACGCACACATGTGAACATATATATATATATATATATATATATATATATATATATATATATATATATATATATATATATATATATATATATATATATATATATATATATATATGTATTATATATATATATATATATATATATATATATATATATATATATATATATATATATATATATATATATATATATATATATATATATATATATATATATATATATATATATATATATATATATATATATAACCCTTTTTTTTGTTTTTTTTGATAATCAGATAGTCTTTTCGAAAGACTTGGTGATTAATTTATTATAAAAAACTTTGGCAAAATTACCTGATGAACGTATTTCTTTGGCTTTAATGAAAAATTGTTCGTTTGCGAATGTTGATTGTTCCCTCACTAAAATCTTCATTGATATACATCTTTTCGTTCCATAATTTCAGCTTTTTGTAGTTATCTAGTATAGTTTCACGATCTTTATAATCTAGAAATTTAACTTTTATAGTTCTTCTTATTATTATTTTACCGTCGTTGTCTTTTTTCTTCCCGGTTCTGTGCGCACGTTCTATATCGCGACGTTAGAATTATCTTGTGCTATCTCCATGTTTTTGCAAACTGAGAAAATCGATGTCAAAGTTTGAATTTGTTCGCAGCTAAATTGAAAAAATATTTTGAGAATTTAGGTATTTCCTAAGATTTAAAAATGTTTTATTATTAATTTTTAGATAAAAAAAACTTTTTAAAATTACGCTAACGCCCTTTTTTTCGCACCCTCTTTTGGAGATAGAACAAAATAACTTTGGTTTTTAGTAAAATTCAAAAATATTATGTTGTTACATCATATATATTAAACATATTAAGTACATTTTTCAACAACGACATGTTAGAAATTGATGAAATTTTGTTCTACCTGCTAATTATTCTTACGCAGTACCATACACTCCTAATTTATGGGCATGGGCCCCTAATTTAGGGGCATGGGTTCCTAATTTAACGGGACCCTTTTCAAAATATAAGACGCTTTTTGTATTACCTAAAAAATTAAGTTTTTTAAAATAAAATGAGGCCCTAATTAGGAGAACTTTTAGAAGAGCCTCTAACGACACTGTTCTTACGACTTACATTTACTTTAATTACCTGTAGGCGCCGGCCCTGGACAATACTAAGACGTCTAATTTAAAACGGAAAATTTGTCTGCGTAATAATAATATAAACGTATTAATATAATATAAACGTATAAAATAAATTATGAAAGGTATATAGGAAAGAGTTATGTTAAAGAAAATGTAATAATAAAAGAAATAACATTATGTAACTATCTGATAATTCACAACAATTCAACTAATCTAATCACAAACTCCATGCAAGATGAACTTGATTTTATTTTTCTTATGCCTGTGTATCCATTAATAGAGTTAAACTTTTTATTAAAATTTATTGCAAATATTTACAAATAAAAAATTGTTACTCAAGTTAACGTCAGGAAGGGCATCAGGTTGTGAAACATTGCTTTAACTCTTTCATAGTGGCCTTTATGTCACTATGGAAAACCATCCAAACCAAACAAGTGGGGGAAAATGAATATAAAAGTACAAAAAAACAAACAAAAAAAACACAAGCTAAACAAAAAATTTTATCAAGATTTCAAGATAATATTATTTCAATGTGTTTTATATTTATATTTATACTAAATAAATATTTTATTTAAATATGTTATTTATATGTATATTATTTATATTATTATATATATATAAATATGTTATTTATATTTATACTAAACATATAACAACCCTAAAAATATTTTGACTTTATTAATGTTTTGTAAATTTTCAATTTATTATTGTTTTATAAAATGCAATATCAACAGCAGGCATGTATGAATACATGGAAATGATATCATTGGCTTTTGCAACAGATATAGACTGATAAGAAGCACGAAAGCAAGCTGCCATTGGTATATTGGTATTTAATGGTTTTGCAAGAATGATTAATGCTGCTTTCTTGACAGACTTATTTATACGAGCATGTGAATAATTATCTGAAAACGAGGTTTTAAAAAAAACATGGTATGGCAGTCCGTTTTGATAAACAAGATTTTTAACCTTTGAATAAGGCACTAACTTATAACTTGACAAATCAGCGACAACTGAAAAATTCTTTACATTTCCTAATTGCATTTGGTAAACACAGAAAGGTTTTTTACGGTTTACATTTTTAATAGCTCTTTCTAGCCCAAGTGGACTAAATATTTCTGCAGCAGAGAGGGATTTTTCAATCTGACTATGAATGTTGTCACATTCTTGAATGCTGGAATGACCTGGCTCGCAGAACTTCTGTTCAATTACTTTTATTTGTGAGTATCGTGTTATAAATTCACACAAAGCTGCTGACATGAAACTATTGCGGTTTTGTGGTACACATGAATCGAACCAAAGTATGAACTTATTTATGTCAAGGTCAGCCATGATTTTCAAAAGCAAACATGTTACAGCACTGGCTAGATCATTTCCTCCACGACCAGTCATGGCTTCGTGCCAAAGGATGCAATAACCCTTCCTGTTAAGCGAGCAATGTCCAGTTAAGTTATAATTTGAAAGTTTTCGTTTGTAATAAAAGTTTCCCACATTAGCTCTAGGCAAATTTAAAACATTTTCAAGGTCAATACAAACAATTGCAGTTTTAGAATCAACATTTTGGCGATCATTTTCACGTTCAGTTTTGGTATCATTCCTTGATTTTATGTGCTTATTATAACTATCTGTTTGTTCATTGCTTGCATTAACAATGTTGCGATACTCATAGCATGTGTCACATAAATCTTTCTTCGGTTTTTGAAATTCTATACTGAACTCGTGATTAAAGATATAACGATACATATGTTCTTTTGCTGGAGGAGAGACATTTTCATCACAATATATTTTATAAAGATCATACATTCTACCTATATTTAGTGATCCTTCCATGTATTCTTTATGTGTCTTTTTCCAGCTATAATGAGCATCAATTCTTGGGAAAAAGTTAATATGGTCTCGTACAACTTGTTTAGACTCTTCTAGTAACCTTTTTTTAACATGTTTCCCTGATTTTGATTGCAATGGTGTTCCAGTAGTTAAAGATTTATTAAACTTATGAAAGTAAAACACTCTATGGCTGCTAATATTCAATGTTGAAAGATAATATGATTTACAAACTCTATATTGTGTATTAGAAACAACAAAGCTATAATAATAAGATGTTTTTCTTCTTGTTCTCCTTTCGTATTTTTATAAGCTTTACCCGACTGACGTTGGATTTTTCTTACACTTTGTTTCCAACTACTCCTATCAGCTTTACGTTTCCTAGAAACCCCACCATGGGGCGACCGACGAGAAGGTGTAATGCCAAGCAGCTCTAACGATTATAATATTAATTTTTTATTATCCAGGATGTATAAATAATAACTTTCGCTTGTGCCATTTTAGATTAAATTTAAATTTAATCTAAAATGGCACAAGCGAAAGTCGAATTCTACTTTTCCAAAATTATAATACAAATTAAGTTGAAAAACTACCTTCGTTTTGATTTAGGGCAAATATTGACCAAGAAATGGATTTTTGTTTATTTCTTGGTCAATATTTGCAGTTGCCATTTTGAAAACAACAAAACTGATAAAATTATTCCGAACAACTTTGTAATTGTAATATGATTGGTTGATTGGAGATAGAACAAGATAATATTTTCAAGTTTGCTCATTAAGGAGATAGAACAATGCAATATTGCATGCAATACCGTGTTAAAAGTTTCATTTTTTTTCAATATAATTAAAGTAGAACAACACAATGCTAAAATATTTGAAAATAATAAAATCTCAATTTTTTCAAAAATTGGAGATAGCACAAGATAATTCTAACGTCGCGATGTGTATTTCTTCGTTTATATTTAGTTTTTCTTTTATTAGCTTTTTCACTTTCTCCTCACTGTTTTTCCACGTTTCTCCTTCAGTTTTCACTGTTACAGTATATATGTATATTCATATATATATATATATATATATATATATATATATATATATATATATATATATATATATATATATATATATATATATATATATATATATATATATATATATATATATATATATATATATATATATATATATATTACAGTATATATGAATATTCATACTTTTTTACAGTTTTTGTTACAGTACTTTTGTTACATACTTTTGTTACATACTTTTTTACACTTTTTGTTACAGTATATATGTATATTCATTTTTGTTATTATTATTATTATTATTATTATTATTTTATTTCTTATTTTTTTTTTGTACATGATTTTAATACTTTAATTACTCATAAGTTATTAGAAAATTTTCATATAACTGCTTGTATTTAAGACAAGTTTTTTAAGATAAAATTTTAAGGAATTTATATTGTTTAGGAGAGATATTGAGGAATTTTTTGGTATTAATTTGTTATACAAGTAAGGACCACGATATGCTATTGAGAATTGAGACAATTTTCTTTCTTTAGGGGGTACTATATAGTTTCCAGTTCCTCTAGTGCTAAATTTGTTCTAAGATAATTTCTCGTCAAGAAGCACACCAAGAAATTTAGATGATTGAGTTCGTTTAATAATTGTGTTGTCTATACTAAGAGTTGG